TACAAAAGTCTAGTTTAACCATTTATCCACTTTCCCAGTCCAAAACATATTTTGAAATTATTTATGAGGATCAAAATATTATGCTGGTTCTCAAAGAGCACGGAATAACCATGCCTAGTCTAGACAATGCTGTCCGAAATTACCTAGTTGAAAAAAATCCGGCCGAATATCAGAGACAAATAGCGAATTTTTTCATTTTGACGGCCGCACACCGGCTGGATAAACTAACTAAAGGAATAGTCATTTATCCGAAAAATCCCTCTACAAAGAGGGTGTTATATCAGGCGATTGCTGACAAGAATAAGATAACCAAAAAGTATTTAGCGGTATGTGAAAAAAGACCTAAAAAAATATTGCCTAGTTATATTAGCGGTTATTTAAGCAAAAACAGTTCGGAGCAGAAAATGGAATTTTCTCGGGAACCAACCAATTCCCAAGCCAAATTTTGTGCTTTAGAAGTGAGAAAAGTTGACACTAAGAACAATTATCAAACTTTAGAAATTACTTTACACACAGGGAGAAAACACCAAATTCGCAGCATTTTGTCCTATTTTTGTTTGCCAATTGTTGGTGATAAAAAATACGGCAGTAAAATAGATTTAAAAGATAAAATTTACTTGTTAGCCTACAAAATATTATTTGTCAATTTGCCAGCACCGCTTGCTTATTTAAACGGCAAAGAGTTTCAAATTTCGGATTAGATAAAATTTAAGTTGTGTTAAACGCACAAGTGCTTATCGAACGTAAAATAATAATATATAATAGCATATTATAATAGAAAAAATTGATAAAAAACACTAATAACCAAAAAATATGGCAAATTGATATTGTAATAATTGTAATTCATACAAAGAAAGTTGGGCAGAGCGTCAGAGTTATAAACCCGAGGAGACTTATCGTCGGGACATTAGGTGTTGAAGTTGTGATAGTTATAGTTTAATTTATACTGACAGCCAGAAATCTCGCTACAAAGAGTTAGTAAAAGAAAGAACTTCCATTCCTGGTTATGTGGAGGAAGTGGAACGATTTTCTACTTGGTGAAGCAATAATATTGCTACGGCAGTAGTTTACTATAATAGTTATTATCGGGTGTTTTTATTAGTCTATGACCCAGTTTATAGCACTTCAAATCCAGCGGTATTTCCAGAAAGTCATGATTGTTCTTATTGAGGAGACAGCGGTAGAGGCAGAAAAAGCCACAATTATCTTTCAGATGCTAGAAGCGAAGCAGAATGATTAAGGGGAGAATTGGCTAGCAGTTGTGGTAAATATAGTGATAATCCAATATTGCTAATTCATCCCCATTGCGATTGTTCTTATTATTTTAACGATTTCGTTACTAGTCCTTATGTGGTAAAAAAATATTCGACTGGTTATCTTAAACCTTTTGATGTTGTCGAAACAGACATGAAACTATTCGAACATGTTGGAGTATATTTAGGTAAAATTGATGGAGAGTTTAAAGTTTGTCACTTTACTAGGAAAAAAAACAATACTACAATTGACAATTGGAATGATTTTTTTCAGGGAAGAGTAATTGGTTGTCATCCAATTGTCCCTTTTAACCCAAGTTAGCAAGAAGTCCCCCATCCTCTTTTAGGTGGTGGGATGAATTGCTAAAATATAACATATACT